TGTATTCAGCAGGTGTAATGTTGTGGCTGGTGTGTAGTGTGTATGTAGCAGGTGTAATGCTGTGGCTGGTGTGTAGTGTGTATGTAGCAGGTGTAATGTTGTGGCTGGTGTGTAGTGTGTATGCAGCAGGTGTAATGTTGTTGCTGGTGTGTAATGTGTATTCAGCAGGTGTAATGATGTGGCTGGTGTGTAGTGTGTATGTAGCAGGTATAATGTTGTGGCTGGTGTGTAGTGTGTATGCAGCAGGTGTAATGATGTGGCTGGTGTGTAGTGTGTATGTAGCAGGTATAATGTTGTGGCTGGTGTGTAGTGTGTATGCAGCAGGTGTCATGTTGTTGCTGGGGTGTAATATGTATGCAGCAGGTGTAATGATGTGGCTGGTGTGTAGTGTGTATGTAGCAGGTATAATGTTGTGGCTGGTGTGTAGTGTGTATGCAGCAGGTGTCATGTTGTTGCTGGGGTGTAATATGTATGCAGCAGGTGTAATGATGTGGCTGGTGTGTAGTGTGTATGTAGCAGGTATAATGTTGTGGCTGGTGTGTAGTGTGTATGCAGCAGGTGTCATGTTGTTGCTGGGGTGTAATATGTATGCAGCAGGTGTAATGATGTGGCTGGTGTGTAGTGTGTATGTAGCAGGTATAATGTTGTGGCTGGTGTGTAGTGTGTATGCAGCAGGTGTCATGTTGTTGCTGGGGTGTAATATGTATGCAGCAGGTGTAATGATGTGGCTGGTGTGTAGTGTGTATGTAGCAGGTATAATGTTGTGGCTGGTGTGTAGTGTGTATGCAGCAGGTGTCATGTTGTTGCTGGGGTGTAATATGTATGCAGCAGGTGTAATGATGTGGCTGGTGTGTAGTGTGTATGTAGCAGGTATAATGTTGTGGCTGGTGTGTAGTGTGTATGCAGCAGGTGTCATGTTGTTGCTGGGGTGTAATATGTATGCAGCAGGTGTAATGATGTGGCTGGTGTGTAGTGTGTATGTAGCAGGTATAATGTTGTGGCTGGTGTGTAGTGTGTATGCAGCAGGTGTCATGTTGTTGCTGGGGTGTAATATGTATGCAGCAGGTGTAATGATGTGGCTGGTGTGTAGTGTGTATGTAGCAGGTATAATGTTGTGGCTGGTGTGTAGTGTGTATGCAGCAGGTGTCATGTTGTTGCTGGGGTGTAATATGTATGCAGCAGGTGTAATGATGTGGCTGGTGTGTAGTGTGTATGTAGCAGGTATAATGTTGTGGCTGGTGTGTAGTGTGTATGCAGCAGGTGTCATGTTGTTGCTGGGGTGTAATATGTATGCAGCAGGTGTAATGATGTGGCTGGTGTGTAGTGTGTATGTAGCAGGTATAATGTTGTGGCTGGTGTGTAGTGTGTATGCAGCAGGTGTCATGTTGTTGCTGGGGTGTAATATGTATGCAGCAGGTGTAATGATGTGGCTGGTGTGTAGTGTGTATGTAGCAGGTATAATGTTGTGGCTGGTGTGTAGTGTGTATGCAGCAGGTGTCATGTTGTTGCTGGGGTGTAATATGTATGCAGCAGGTGTAATGATGTGGCTGGTGTGTAGTGTGTATGTAGCAGGTATAATGTTGTGGCTGGTGTGTAGTGTGTATGCAGCAGGTGTCATGTTGTTGCTGGGGTGTAATATGTATGCAGCAGGTGTAATGATGTGGCTGGTGTGTAGTGTGTATGTAGCAGGTATAATGTTGTGGCTGGTGTGTAGTGTGTATGCAGCAGGTGTCATGTTGTTGCTGGGGTGTAATATGTATGCAGCAGGTGTAATGATGTGGCTGGTGTGTAGTGTGTATGTAGCAGGTATAATGTTGTGGCTGGTGTGTAGTGTGTATGCAGCAGGTGTCATGTTGTTGCTGGGGTGTAATATGTATGCAGCAGGTGTAATGATGTGGCTGGTGTGTAGTGTGTATGTAGCAGGTATAATGTTGTGGCTGGTGTGTAGTGTGTATGCAGCAGGTGTCATGTTGTTGCTGGGGTGTAATATGTATGCAGCAGGTGTAATGATGTGGCTGGTGTGTAGTGTGTATGTAGCAGGTATAATGTTGTGGCTGGTGTGTAGTGTGTATGCAGCAGGTGTCATGTTGTTGCTGGGGTGTAATATGTATGCAGCAGGTGTAATGATGTGGCTGGTGTGTAGTGTGTATGTAGCAGGTATAATGTTGTGGCTGGTGTGTAGTGTGTATGCAGCAGGTGTCATGTTGTTGCTGGGGTGTAATATGTATGCAGCAGGTGTAATGATGTGGCTGGTGTGTAGTGTGTATGTAGCAGGTATAATGTTGTGGCTGGTGTGTAGTGTGTATGCAGCAGGTGTCATGTTGTTGCTGGGGTGTAATATGTATGCAGCAGGTGTAATGATGTGGCTGGTGTGTAGTGTGTATGTAGCAGGTATAATGTTGTGGCTGGTGTGTAGTGTGTATGCAGCAGGTGTCATGTTGTTGCTGGGGTGTAATATGTATGCAGCAGGTGTAATGATGTGGCTGGTGTGTAGTGTGTATGTAGCAGGTATAATGTTGTGGCTGGTGTGTAGTGTGTATGCAGCAGGTGTCATGTTGTTGCTGGGGTGTAATATGTATGCAGCAGGTGTAATGATGTGGCTGGTGTGTAGTGTGTATGTAGCAGGTATAATGTTGTGGCTGGTGTGTAGTGTGTATGCAGCAGGTGTCATGTTGTTGCTGGGGTGTAATATGTATGCAGCAGGTGTAATGATGTGGCTGGTGTGTAGTGTGTATGTAGCAGGTATAATGTTGTGGCTGGTGTGTAGTGTGTATGCAGCAGGTGTCATGTTGTTGCTGGGGTGTAATATGTATGCAGCAGGTGTAATGATGTGGCTGGTGTGTAGTGTGTATGTAGCAGGTATAATGTTGTGGCTGGTGTGTAGTGTGTATGCAGCAGGTGTCATGTTGTTGCTGGGGTGTAATATGTATGCAGCAGGTGTAATGATGTGGCTGGTGTGTAGTGTGTATGTAGCAGGTATAATGTTGTGGCTGGTGTGTAGTGTGTATGCAGCAGGTGTCATGTTGTTGCTGGGGTGTAATATGTATGCAGCAGGTGTAATGATGTGGCTGGTGTGTAGTGTGTATGTAGCAGGTATAATGTTGTGGCTGGTGTGTAGTGTGTATGCAGCAGGTGTCATGTTGTTGCTGGGGTGTAATATGTATGCAGCAGGTGTAATGATGTGGCTGGTGTGTAGTGTGTATGTAGCAGGTATAATGTTGTGGCTGGTGTGTAGTGTGTATGCAGCAGGTGTCATGTTGTTGCTGGGGTGTAATATGTATGCAGCAGGTGTAATGATGTGGCTGGTGTGTAGTGTGTATGTAGCAGGTATAATGTTGTGGCTGGTGTGTAGTGTGTATGCAGCAGGTGTCATGTTGTTGCTGGGGTGTAATATGTATGCAGCAGGTGTAATGATGTGGCTGGTGTGTAGTGTGTATGTAGCAGGTATAATGTTGTGGCTGGTGTGTAGTGTGTATGCAGCAGGTGTCATGTTGTTGCTGGGGTGTAATATGTATGCAGCAGGTGTAATGATGTGGCTGGTGTGTAGTGTGTATGTAGCAGGTATAATGTTGTGGCTGGTGTGTAGTGTGTATGCAGCAGGTGTCATGTTGTTGCTGGGGTGTAATATGTATGCAGCAGGTGTAATGATGTGGCTGGTGTGTAGTGTGTATGTAGCAGGTATAATGTTGTGGCTGGTGTGTAGTGTGTATGCAGCAGGTGTCATGTTGTTGCTGGGGTGTAATATGTATGCAGCAGGTGTAATGATGTGGCTGGTGTGTAGTGTGTATGTAGCAGGTATAATGTTGTGGCTGGTGTGTAGTGTGTATGCAGCAGGTGTCATGTTGTTGCTGGGGTGTAATATGTATGCAGCAGGTGTAATGATGTGGCTGGTGTGTAGTGTGTATGTAGCAGGTATAATGTTGTGGCTGGTGTGTAGTGTGTATGCAACAGGTGTAATGTTGTGGCTGTTGTGTAGTGTGTATGTAGCAGGTGTAATGTTGTGGCTGGTGTGTAGTGTGTATGCAACAGGTGTAATGTTGTGGCTGTTGTGTAGTGTGTATGTAGCAGGTGTAATGTTGTGGCTGGTGTGTAGTGTGTATGCAACAGGTGTAATGTTGTGGCTGTTGTGTAGTGTGTATGTAGCAGGTGTAATGTTGTGGCTGGTGTGTAGTGTGTATGCAACAGGTGTAATGTTGTGGCTGTTGTGTAGTGTGTATGTAGCAGGTGTAATGTTGTGGCTGGTGTGTAGTGTGTATGCAACAGGTGTAATGTTGTGGCTGTTGTGTAGTGTGTATGTAGCAGGTGTAATGTTGTGGCTGGTGTGTAGTGTGTATGCAACAGGTGTAATGTTGTGGCTGTTGTGTAGTGTGTATGTAGCAGGTGTAATGTTGTGGCTGGTGTGTAGTGTGTATGTAGCAGGCGTAATGTTGTGGATGGTGTGTAGTGTGTATGTAGCAGGTGTAATGATTTTTATGTTTAAAAATCATTATTATTGTATTTATTATTTTTATATATTTATTATTATTTATTATATATATATATTTATTATTATATAAAAAAATGTATTATATAAAACATATAAAAAAATAATAAATAAGTGATAAATAATTTAAAAAAGTGATACAAAATGGTTATTTGGTATTACAATCAACACACCTACTATGAAATCTTCTATGCCTTATCCTTGTTGTATTTGTCACAGTCTTAAGAAATATCTCTCCCATTTGTCTTTCTTTCATGTCTGTGTGTTACCTGTAGGAAGTTGCAGGTCATCTCCTGGCCGTGGCAGGACTTGGACTTGAGCAGGGTCCGGTTGACGGTGGTGGAGCTCTTCTGAAGCACCTGTCGGGCCTGACTGAGGGTCAGCGTGGACCACGAGCCTCTCTTCACAAGCATGTGTTCCCCCGTCTGGCCCGTGGAGGGCGGCAGGCTGACCGTGGGCTTGAGGTCGCCGCTGCTCTTGGAGGATTTGAGCGAATGCGCCGCGATGGTGTTGTAGCCCTGCGGATGCGGTCTGGGAGCCGCCTGACTGTCCGACACGGCCCTGCCCAGCGTCATCATGCTAAGAGGGTTTCGATACGCCACCGCTAATGGGCCTGTGGCGGGTTGAGCTGGCGGCTCGTCCTCCAAACCGTCATCCGAGCTCCAGAAGCCTGAGAGATTGGGTCGCGGACGGCGTTTGGTGCCGTCGGGCTTGGCGTGGTCTTTGCTTTTGCTTCGCCGGGTCGCTTTGGCCGCATCGCCGGCTTGGCCCGCGGTGATGCTCCCTTTGACCGCCGAAACCTCCAGGGATTGGGACTTGGCAAAGAGTTTCTGGACGGACTGCACCAGGTTGCGGATGCGGCTGGGACTCTCGCTGCGCTGCTTGGAGCCGCGGCTGCGCCGGTGGAACTGCAGCGTGCTGAAGCCGTCCCGCTGCAGCGGTAGGTGGCGCTCCAGCTGGTCCAGCAGGTTGGCTGGGAGCCGGTTCATCTTGGCGGCGGCCGCGGATGAGATGGTGGCTGTGCCGCTGCTGATCATGGCTGGAGCACCCAGTCCCAGACCCAAACCCATGCCCATGGACATGGAGGACGTGAGGGTCCCGGAGCGACTACCGGTCTGAACCACACAAGCCTGCTGAGACAAAACACACCATCATACAATTAATTGAAAAATATTCAGATACACTATTTACACTACTTACTATTTTAAGTGTGAGCTAAATATGATTTCAAAACTGTACATTTGTTGACTGTATTACATATATCACATGCACAATATTAGAACAGTTTAACGAATATTTATATGGTATTAATAATTATTAAACAAATATTTGCATTTATTATTATTATTGCACTTATTATTTATGTATTTATTATCATACAAACAATTGTACAGTATATCACCTGTACAATATTACAATTAGTTCAAATATAAATAAATGATTTTGTAACAAATATTTGTATTTATTATTAATTATATTATTATTATTATTTATGTTTATTATACCAATGTTTGTATAACACATTCACAATATTGTAATTAGTTTAAATATAAATAAGTATTTGTTAACAAATATTTTATTTATTATTAATTATTATACAAATATTTCTTCTTATTATTATTACTACTACTACTACTACACTTTTATTTATTATATTATCTTAAAGCATTTAAAAAATGTCAAGAAAAGTTCAAATGAAGCCCTGTTTGACTGACACTGATTTTATCACCAGAGACTGTCAACTGGCTGTAATTTTTGGTCATACATATTAATATCACATATAAATATACATATTATTTTTAATATACGTTAATATACATATTCATTTTTTTGCATTTAAAATTGCAAAATGTAAACATTTCAAATAATTTTTTATTTATTTATTATGTATTTGTTTATTTATGACAACAAATGCACAAATTAATTATTTAAATTAAAAGTTCAATTAAATTAAAATTAATTAAATTAAAGTTTAATAATAATAAATAATTTCAAATATTTGTATAATAATTAATAATAAATACAAATATGTGTATTAAAGGGTTAGTTCACCCAAAAATGAAAATTAGACTGCGTATTACTCACCCTCAAGTCATCCTAGGTGTATATGACTTTCTTCTTTCAGACGAATCCAGTCGGAGTTACATTAAAAATTGTCCTGGCTATTCCAAGATCTATCATTGCAGTCAGCGGGTGTTGCAGTGCTTCAGTCCAAAAGAAGTGAAATAAAAAGCGCCCATCCATAACAAAGTATCTCACAGGGCTCCGGGGGGTGAAAAAAGGCCTCCTGTAGCGAATCGATGGGTTTTTGTAAGAAAAATAACCATATTTAAAACGTAATAATCAATTTAATCTAGCTTGCGCTCACTGTTGTAAATGGAAGCAGTTCCGGGAGGATGACGTATGAGGTCAGATTTGCGCAAGCGCCGCTCAGAAGTGAAAGCAAATTCTTTTATTCAGCAAGGATGCATTAAATTAATCAAAAGTGACAGTAAAGACATTTATAATGTTACAAAAGTTTTCTATTTCAAATAAATGCTGTTCTTTTGAACTTTCCACTTATAAAAAAATAAAATGAAATAAAATGTATTTCAGTTTCCACAAAAATATGAAGCAGCACAACTGTTTTCAACATTAATAATAATCAATATAATATAATATAATCAATATTCAAATAATAAGAAATGTTTCTTGAGCAGCAAATCAGCATATTAGAATGATTTCTGAAGATCATGTGACACTGAAGACTGGAGTAATGATGCTGAAAATTCAGCTTTGATCACAGGAATCATTTTAAAATAAATTCAAATAAAAAAAAGTTATTTAGAATTGTAATAATATTTCCCAATATTACTGTTTTTACTGTATTTTTAATCAAATAAATGCAGTGTGGTGTCAGTACCTGTGTGTAGTCGCTCTGCTCCGGCTGGTTGGTGTAGTGGAGGCGTGGGAAGGTGCTGCTGTTGGTCAGCTGGTTGTTGAGGGGCAGCAGGCAGTCCGACTGCAGCATCGTTGGGGTGGAAACAGGAAAATGATGGAGGTGAGGATCCAGAGTGGCGTAATGGTTGACGGTGGGGCTCAGGAGGAAGGCAGCATGGGGGTCCGGGGCCAAGGGACACAGGGGCTCCTGGGGGCCCGCAGTAGGGTCGCAGGTGTCGGACAGATGGTGACTACGGTTGGCCCCTAAGCCTTTCATGGTTGCTGCGCAGGGTCGGCTCTAGAACATGATCCCAGATGAAGAGAGACGACGGCCCTGGAGGGCGACCCCTACAGGACAGACATAGAAACACACGGTCCGTGTCAGTTCAGATCCAGCTGGTTGCAATGATGAACCTGCTGAGCGTAAGTGCACACTGGTTTTCTTCAATCATGTTTTCATGTCTTTGCAATTAACTGAAATAAAATACATTTAAAGAAACACTAAAATTACTAAAACTGAAACTGAAATAAAAATAAAGCTAATTAAAATGTGTGCTTTTTTAATTGAAAGAATATTAAATATAACTAGCAGATGAAAATTTTAAACTTAAAACAATTACATTTAAACTTAAAGAGAATTAGCAACTAACTAAAATAAAACATGTTTAAGAAATATTAAAATGATTAAAACTAAAACTGAAAATAAATTAAAACCAAGTAAAATATATAAAAATATTTTGTCATAGAAATAAAATTAAATATAACTAGTAGATAGATGAAAATGTACACAAACATTTTTTTCTTAAAAACTTAATCGAAACTTACCGAAAAACTTAAATAAAGTTTAATAAATACTAAAAATACTAAAACAATTAAAAATGTAAAGAAACTAAAAAATAAATTGACAAAAGCACCACAAAATTACTAAATCTGATGTTCACATCTTTGCTTTTCCATTTGAAATTTGGCAGTCACTGTGCGTTCGCGAAAGTGAAAACGCAAACGGTAATGCAAGATGTGCAGTTGCGCTTGGATTATGTCACAGTTTATGCGTCCACATATGGAAAAAAAAATACAATTTGCAATTCCTTTTGAAAATAGTCCGGATTATCCTTCCATACTTAGGGGCCGTTCACACAGAACGCGTTTTTTAAGTTCCAAAACTGTGGACCAATCAGAAGACCCCAGAGGTCTTGTCAAGTGTTGCGAGCTTTTGTTTACAGTAGCAAGTTGGCATGGCCGCAACTGACGGCGCCTTTTTCCTGCGCGCTGAGGCCCTGTTTACACTAGTGTTAACTTTTGCTACAGTTACGCCTGTTGTTTACACTTCTCTGGCGTTTTTGACCCTTGAAAATAAAGACTTTCGAAAACGTATAACATGGACTTTCGAAAACAATTACATGGAGACTGAACTGCAAACTTTCCTGGCTTCGTTGTCATTTTTAGCAGTCATTGTGCAGCTAAATTCAGTATTTTATAATACAGCGAGGCAAGCTGTGCTCAGAGCAATCGGCAACAAAGACGTCCATGCTTTTCCTCGCCATTAGGGATATAATGATTAACCGCGAGCCGGTCGAAAATCGATTAAAATATGTGACTATTCAAATCGGTTGAGATGCCAAACAAATCGCGATACAATTGTAGTAGGAGTTTATATGAATGTATCTCTGAGGGGAACTGACTGTCTTTAGAAAATAAAGGTATTTTCTTTTCATCTTGCCTCTGTACAATGCATATTAAAGCAGTGTTCATAAGCGCAGCTCTGCTTTGTTTACAGCGGTAACCCAGGAAACACTGTATCATTGCTGTTCATAAGCGCCACCTGCTGTCAGAGAGTGAATCTGCATCTCATTCAGCTCGTCTGCTGTTTCCTTCAGATGTGTTTTACGTAGCATCGTTTCACAAAACTAAAGTCAGACCATTTTGTTTTTGCTTCAAATTTCGAAATTATACAGTCTAATTTAGATTAAAAACTGCTCATGTTGCATTTATGCTGCATCTTTGTTTGGATCATGATTGAAATCCGGTGGTTGCCTCTAATTTTAAATGGAAAGAGCACAGACAAAGCCTTAGTTTGTTCATATTAAGAGATTTCTTTTATTTGTGTAACTTACTTGTTTGATTTGGGGTTTGTTTTAAAATTTCAATTTAGTTTTGTTATATTTCAATTTCACAAAGAAACGCGCAGCAATAGGCTAATAAAACGCCACCTTTTAATTTACAGTCTTCAATCTCAATTTGTTAAAAAAAATTGAGAGAAAATCGAATCGTGAAATCAAAATCGTGAATCGAATCGTGAGTCGAGTGAATCGTTACATCCCTACTCGCCATCATGCTGATTGTTGTACCTGCCAGTGACTAGCAACCAACTTCCTGTTTACACTTTTACGCGCATGTCCAGTGTGCAGGAAAGGTCATGTGACATGCATTTTCGGTTGTGTAGTGGGGACGGAAATCGTTTCTGAAACGCAGTGAAAACGCCAGTGTAGACGAGGTTTTAAAACGAAAACGCAGGGCGTCTCGCGTTTTTTAGAAGCAAAGACGGGTTCTGTGAATGGCTCCTTAATATCTAAAACGTATATTCCATCTCAAGTAAACATATCTTGATTTTTTAGATTTTGGTTTTTGTAACAGAAAACAAGACAAAAAGACTGAAGAAGACAACATTTTTTGCATTGTATTTCTTCATTATTTCAAACAGTGAACAGCAGGTTTCTATAGTCTACATGCAAATTCTTCCCAATCAAACTCTCTCATGCTCACATTCACACTATTCTACTCGCGCCCGTGAGGCTCATGAAACCAGCGTCTTCATCATCTGTGAGTCGCTCTTCCCATCGACATTCATCTGGAGCTGGATATTTGATAATGGTGATATTTTTTCCTATACTTCTATTTCTGTATATAGTACATTATTCAATTTTTCTTTTTTTTATTATATTAGTGTTATATTACATCCCTACTGTGTTATTCCTATGTATGTCTGCACTATCATGTATGTCTGCACTATGTTTGTACTTTCTTCTACACTGGAAGCTCCTGTCGTCAAGTCAAATTCCTTGTGTGTGTAAACATACTTGGTAATAAAGCTCTTCTGATTCTGATTCTGATTCTGATATGTGAAAGTCACACACTCATCGTGAGCCGAATCGCCCGAGACATCGACTCAAACGTCTCCGCAGATCGCAGCGCCATTCACAAAACCTCACAAAGAGCTCTATTGGCATGCTCAACATAGCTGTTTTCATCTGTCATCACTGCTCTCAATGGGGCCACGCGATGAGTCACGGCGCCGTCAAAGAGCCTGAACAGCTCGTTAGCATTCAGCCCGCAGCTGCGCCTCCTCCCGAACGAACGGGCCCCCGGAGGAGCGCCGTCACCGCTCGCGCTCGCAACCTGAGGCCATTACAAACACCTCACGTGCGTTTGCTACGAGGAATGCGTTTGAAAGCCACCAACTGGGATCCTGATGCCTGGCTGAAAATAAAAGAAATCAAAACGCGTGTTTCGTGTGTGTAATGTGAAACTCTCACGAGGAAATGTCACTCCAGTGACCTTCATTGTGTCGTTTGCGGTTTGTTTAAAGGTTGAAATAAAAATTCTGCTGCCATTTACTCACCTTTATGCCTTATGGGGTTTAAAAGACGATTCATATTCAGTAAGATTAATGCACTTAAGATTTAATGCACTGACACTACAGCATTAGAGCAAAATCTGAATCGAATTAAGCTGAATAATAACAATTTAGTCTTTTTAAGAGCTGCTTTATAGCTGAAATGTATTATTTTTTTCATAATTGATTAATTTGACAACATTAACACATTACCTAGCATATAATTTGTTTTTAAAAACTATTTTGTTAATTGAAATAAAACAAGCAAAATTAAACAATTAGTAGATAAAAATTTTAAACTTAAAAAAAATTAATCTGTTGTCTTGGCAACTAACAGAAATAAAATATGTTTAAAAATACTAAAATGAAACTAAAACTGAAATGAAGCTTATATATATCCTCCAGCAGTGATGGCTCACCTGCCTGTGCCCTAAAGAAAGTCAAATCTATATGAAATAATGTATAGCCATCTCTCTATATATATATATATATATATATATATATATGTTAATTGAAATACAACTGAAATTAAATTAAAATATCCAGTAGATGAAAATGCCATGCCATAAATGCTCATTTTCATTTAATGTTGAAGTACTCAAATAACTAAAACTAAATAAACTACCGTTAATAAATAATACATTACTAAAACTTTAAAGTGAAAACAGAAAATATAAAAGAATATGCTATAATATATTTATTTATTTATGCATGTCAAATCTGGCTATGTGAAACATGAATTATTTAGGGGCTTAAAAATAATAATTACAACTATTTATTTTTAATGGACTCAAACTTATTCAAATACATTAATGTCACAGATAAAAGCATTAAAGACTCAAAAAGTGGCTTTAGAAGCAAATATATTTATTTAAAATAATTTAACATATTACATTTTATAACAAAATTTTGAATTAACTGTATTAAATGACCACCTATAATCTAAATATGTATTATTTATTAACTAGACCGTTAATTATTTGATTAATTAATTAATTAATTAATAAGAATGATATATCATTATTAATTTATAATAAAATAATCATAGTTAATTATTTACATTATGGACTAGACTTTATGAAGCATTTTAAAAGTCTGGCTATGTGAGATATGTGAAAACAAAATTAGCATCTATAATCAAAATATTTACAAAGTACATAAATAAAAAATATTTTAATTAAAATATGCATGAATGTTTTGCATGATGTGCATTAAACCAAAACAGCAAAATAAGCCAAATGACAATCACCTTTGGAAAGTGTTTCATCTAAATCCATTCAGTGTGGTTTTACCTCTTAGAAACGCCTCACAACACTGAGGCCCAAAGCTGAATTTAAAGCAGGACATGCAGCAGCGGGACGTCCCGCCTTCCTCAGATCACAGTGTGATTACTGACCCAGCGCTCATCTCTGTCCTCTACTGGAAACACAACCACATCAGGAACAACTACAGCACTGAGCCAGAGTGTCAAACAGCACACTATCACACTACTGTAATATGTCTGTACAGCAGGCACATTTACTGTATGCAAGATGACCTGCTACATTTGCTGAAGTTTGTAGTAAACAACAAAGCCCACTATATATATATCCAACAATGCAATGCTATCAACTTGACCATCCACCCAATTTCATAAAAAACTGCAAAATAACAATTTCTTCTGAGACTGTAACCTTGGTTTTGCTTGTTGAATAAAGCATGGAACCTAGTGAGTGTGCGTACGGTACAAGTGCAC